AACCCATTCCAGTGCTTCACCACCCTCCTAATATCCAACCTAAACCTCCCCCACTGCAACTTGAGACCATTGCTCCTTGTTCTGTCATCTGGTACCACTGAGAACAGTCTAGATCCATCCTCTTTGGAACCCCCTTTCAAGTAGTTGAAAGCAGCTATCAAATCCCCCCATTTTTCTCTTCTGCAGACTAACAATCCCAGTTCCCTCAGCCTCTCCTCATAAATCAACACAAATTCACAGATGAGGAAGCCACCAAGGCAACCGTTGCCACAATTCGTGCTGGCGCGGAGGACGATGCCAACACCAGCTTTACGTTTTACGCAAGGTGTTTTCTGACTTTGTAAAGACTTTGACACAGCAACTCTTGGGACCTGGACTACTTCTGGCTGATCAGGCAACAGGGAAAAGGCACCTAAAGATGCCACTGACCTGTTTGTGCCTCAAGTGCTTACCACACTCCAGACCCATTGGTAAGAAGTCCCATCTTGCAAACCTTTCAGGTATTAAATCTCTCCCGTTTTACACCAATATTTCACACTACTCAAGAGCACGATAGAGCAACACACCTCCTGGAGGCTACCAATGACCAAACATCCTCCATCATGCAGTCTCTCAATAGCCAGGCTGTAAGGGTTACACTGATAGACCCATAGAATCATAGAATATCAGGGCTGGAAGGGACCCCAGGAGATCATCCAGTCCAACCCCCCGCTCAAAGCAGGACCAATCCCCAACTAAATCCCCAAAAGGCCCCCCTCTAGGACCGAGCCCACAACTCCGGGCCCAGCATACCTCCTGAGGTCCCTTCCAACCCTGAGATTCTATGATTCTATGGTGTGTGTGTGTGTGTGTGTGTGTGTATATATATATATATATATATGAGAGAGCTCTGCCGGGTTGGCTGGGATAATGCTCACGTTGTGGATCAGCCCGGCTGCTGGGATGTTACTGAGTATTACACAAGCGGACAGGGTATTTATAGATTATCGCAGGGTGGGTTTTTTGCGTCTCCAGTTTTAAAAGCCCCTTAAAAGACACAGGCTCTACAGACATTGTCACTCCGCTCAGCCGGGGGTGAATTAAATCGCTCCTCTGGGTTCCCCTCCTCTCCCCCCGCCCTTCAGGACTTGGCTACTCCAAATACTTGGGGACAGACCTGAGCCTGTGGCCGGGGCTCTCGAAGAAGCCAGGAAACCGATCGCCCCCCCCCCCCCCCCCGACCCTGGCCAGCAGAAGTGGCCACCAGACCAAGGCGGTTTTAGACCCCGCAGAGCAAATGAAATTGGCCTGAAAGTTCCCCTGGCGCCAGCCACTGCCCTAGGTTCTCCCCCCACAGCCCAGCAAGGGAACCCCCCAGTGCCCTGCCGGGAGCGCGGGCTGTCCACACTGCGCTCCCGCTCCGGCCGATGTAACGCACGTCACTCGTGGGGGTGAAGGAGACACTCGAAATAACCAGATGACTCCGGTGGATTTCACCAGACTTTGGATCTGCCCCCAAATGCCCCCCACGCACAACCCCCCTCCCCGCCCCCCCAGGCCCAGCCCGGACAGCGGGACCCCAGTTCCAGCCTGCGGGAGCATTTGGGGGTCGGAAGGTCCCACTGAAAACAACCCCCCGGTTCAACCCAACGAGCCTCGTGTCCCAGGGGCCGGGCGGTGACTGGGGGCCGAACCGGTTCGTGTCCCGGGCGGCTCCCCCAGCACGACCCAGGGGCTGGGGGCGGGGGATCAGACCCGGGTCGGTGGCGATTCCTCGCCCTTTGCAACGGGCGCCCCCTCCCCAAGCGCGGAGCCCGGTTCCCCGCCGGAGCCCGGACGCGCGGGTGATGGGCGCGGGGGTCACTCACGTGTCCCGTCGAAGCGGGTGGCGATCGTGTCCAGGAAGGTGTTCTGGGGCGCCAGCAGCCCCCGCATGGCCGCGGGCATGTCAGGACGCGGGGAAGGCTCCCTCCATCCTGCCGCGGAGCCGCCCCCCGCAGGTAACCCGACCCCCCCTCGGCCAAGCGGCGGAGCCCGAGCCCCTGTCCTGCCCCAGCCGGGGGGTCCCCCAGCGCCCCGAGCAGAGCCGCCGGCCGCACCGTCCAGTGCCCCGGGGACGGGCCGCCCCCAGCGCCGGGGCGAGCGGAGAATCCCAGGCTCGCAGCCCCGGCCCCAGCGAGCTCTTCCCGAGCCCCCGGCCAGGGCACAGCTCAGCGCAGCCCGCCTCCGCCGCGCTCCCGAGCCCGCCCGTCGGCTCCCGCCCGGGGCGCCGCCCCCGGCCAGCCCCGCGCCCCCTCCCCGGCTCCCAGGCGGCCCTGCCCCGGGCAGGTCAGTGCCCCGCGCCGCCCTGGCTCCGGAGCCGCGTGGAAACGCTCCCGGGCGGGGCGCGCCGCGCCGCCGAAGTTGCTCCGCGTGGCCGCTCGGCGCTGGGGAGGGGCCGGGGCCGGGGCCGGGGCCACCCCGCAGCAGCCACGGGCGGAGGGGCAGAGCCGCCCCCAGCTCCGCGGTCACCTGGGCCCGGCCCCGGCCGCCCCGCCCAGGGGCTCCTGGGTTCCAGTCCCGGCTGGGGGGGGGGGGGGGGGGGGGGGGGGAC